TTTAAAGCTGACTTACATGTTGTACTGTCTCCCAGTCTTGTCACAATAAAGGCCTTGTCTCACCAGACAATGGTGCAGTGAATCTAATCCACCTGCTTTTGCGAAATATGTGGTTCTAGAAGCTTTGTGATGTAGTAATAACTTGCAGATCTGGGGCTGGCATTATAGTGGGACAAGCTCGAACATGCTATTGTTCCAATGGCTCATAATTCTGAAGCCCTAAAGGTCCAAAATATGCCCAATAGGACTGAAAAGCCATATGTCTGACATTATGCCAAAAACAAACCCACATCTCTCCAAAGGCATGACTCACCCTGCTCTGCCTCTGATTAGCTTAGCCTGATATTCTTACTCTAACCCAAACTAATATGACTCCTCATGCCTAAATCTAACCAACCCAACCAATGAAGAAAACAAATACTAGCCTATGATGTCATTCTGCATAATAATTAGCCATGTGCTTGGGAGAACATGGAGCCTATTTCCAGAGCAATTCACCTTTTTTTTCAACGTTGGACAAATGGGCCTTCAGTCCAATGGCACATTTTCGGACTACTGGGGCTCTGGAAGTATTAGCCATCAAAAACAATGGGCAGTCTCCCACCAGTCAGTCACAAGAGCTCCTTAAGCTTCTTTCTGTTTTCCTGTACTGTTTACTCTCCCTTTAGTTCAAAGGAATGAACATCAATTCAGTCAATGATTTAATTGAAGAGAAAAACAATCTAAGGGGTACACCAACTTCTTGCTTATTACCTGAATCACTAATGGGACAATAGATAAAAACTGTCTATTCAAAAGACATACTAACCATTGACTACTGTCTCATATCTGTCTGTTAACCATATATTTTTGGTGGGAACATTTACTTTGACAGATGAGGTTAAGTAAAAGTGGATGGTGCAGCACAGCTAAGATACAACAGCTTCCCCCATTCTGGACATTCCAGCACTCTGTTTTCTTAAATGTCAGTACCGCTATTGATTGTTATTGGTTGACATTGTATATTTGCGAGTTTAACCTGACAGGTAAGACAGCGAGTGAACACAGACATTCCATTGGAATAACATATGTTACTGCAAAATTTTGACATTTTAGATGCTGGTGTGACCACGCTAGAACCAAAAGCTCACTATACATACCAACCATTGAACGCTGTACAACCAACATTATAGCTATAGCCAGAGACCCGAAATGAAAGTAGCCTTTTGGGCCGTTGGATGAACGGTTGTTTGTCAAGAAAAAGCTTTGACACATAACTTTCCCTATAAATATTAAATCATATTTTTTTATATCTCTGTTCAAGATTAAAAAAGCAAGATAATATTGTAAGATTAACATGATGTGAGATTAATAATTTCTCTCTCAAAAATAAAATGTTGACCTCCTCCTTTACAGGCAGTGTGTGCTTTCCTGTCAGCTTGTCTTGTTCAGCCTCTCCTGTGTTTCTGTCATACCACAGTATACAGTAGTGTTTATTTGATTGAGCTGCTGGCCTAGAAGGATCAACTTTTCCATGGTTACCAGCATAACTGACATGTGGCACAGATGGAAGGGTGTGAGTGCTGGTGTGTGTGTGTGTGTGTGTGTGTGTGTGTGTGTGTGTGTGTGTGAGTGTGTGTGTGTCTCCCAGTAGCCGGCTTGTTTATGCTAGAAACGCTGGAACAATGTAACCCCTGTGAGTCTAGAGACAACAGTACAGACAGTAAGATGTGGAAGCTAGTGGCCAAACCGGCGGCAAGGAATACATCATCCACCTCAAGCATACACCCACACACTCTCATGCATGCATACACACACATACTCATGTAGACACAAATGCACACACACAAGCTTGTAACCCTGTTTGCACATCCTGTGACAGGTTTTCTCCGTACCCAAGAGTTTCGATCTTCCTCTGTGTTTTCCTCACAGCAGCAGAGGAAAAGGAGAGCGAAGGAAGGGAGGAAGAGAGAAAGAGAGTGAGTGTGTGTGTGTGCTTTTATTGAAAGTTGCATCAGAGCCCCTAGACAGCTATGTGAATTTCAGCCCAATTAATCTGGAGCTTGTGAGCAGAGACTGCATAACAAGACTCGTCTGTCTGACCTCAGGCCAGCTCAGTGTGTGTGTGTGTGTGTGTGTGTGTGTGTGATACAGATAGTCAAAGTAAGGGAGAGAATGCTGTTGTGCAAGAGAGGCTGCCTGTTGTCACCTTGAGTGTGCATGTGACACTGTTGCTTAAATATATATATATATATGTGTGTGTGTGCGGCGTCTTTGTGTGTGAGACAGATTTGACTCCATGCTGTTGGTCAGTTGCATGACAGCCTCTTCTGCTGGGCTCTCAAACACACCGCACCCCAACTGAGCCAAGCTCCAAAGAGACACAACACATTTCCACATTCACACAAAGTTCTGCATGACCTTTAACATGGTGACAACAGATATCATCCATGATATCCCTCTCTGTCTCCATATACTTCTTTTTACACACACACACACACACACACACACACACACACACACACACCCTGACAGACACTTATTTATCCTATGTATCAGCTTTAACAACAATTTATTCAATTTGTATATCCATACAGTTTACATGAAATTCCAGTTACATACTTCTTATTCCCTCCTTGCATATCTTTTAATGCCACAGTCATGCATATAGAGTGTATACTGTACATACATACAGTATAAAATCAGTGAATGATGAGATTGCATGCATACCCACCACTCTCCCTGGCAGAGCCCTGGGCAGTAGTCACCCAGCACGCCACTACAAATGAAGACTAAAGAATATCATGACCTGCAAAGAAACATACCAATGTCTTTGAATGTTTTGGGCCATATAGCACAAACCGTGTAAACTAATAAGCACCAACCATTTTTATATCATTGTTAGGAGATTTTTCTGCCTCCTAACAGAGCTACAGAGTTCAATATGTAAGAAAATACATTTACAGTTTTGAAACTTTCTCGAGACGGGTAGTGAGAAATGTTGGGCAATGCCACATTTGTTAGTAATGAGTAGGGTAAGGGATTACTATTTGAAATTCAATAATTAGATCACGTTTCGCTTCTCAACTTTGACAATCTGGGCGTCAGTTTTTTCACTGTGTCGCTGGGAGATTCATGAATGGTGGATATCAGTTTGGTCTCTCTGAATCTACTAGCTACTTGTTAACCTTTTAGCTCCAAAGTTGTCTTATGTACATGTTGTGTGTTCTTAGCTGGCTTGCTAACTTTGGCCACTGGTAAACCTACATTTTGGAATCTCTAGGTTTGGTTCAAAGTGTGTGAACATAAATCATGGTTGTATAAAGAGAGCTGCATCTGCGTTTGAGGTGGCACCCTGTTAATTTTTCATGAAAGTTGCTCAGTGGCGCATTAAGCCAAAAATGTTGCTGTGTATAAAATTACCAGGTGATTGACACTGCTTCCGCATCATTGGGCCCAAAGAGCAGGTGTACTAGACACTTCCACTGGCCAAGCCAGCTACTTCCAGTTTAGTGCTCATTAATTTGAATGGGGATAAAATGATTCAGTTGTGCGGCTCTAATAGACTAGGTATAGGTCTATGGTATGATATAACAACTTGGAAGTTGCAATTCCACTGTTTGGTCACTACAAAAATTGCCTTCAAAGCACGGCACACTTCACTGTGGCTAATGTTAAGCTAACTGCTGATGGTCAGTAAATGTAGGCTGGCTGCTTGTAAAGCCACAACGTCTCGTTTTCTATTTCTAAACCAGTTAAATACAGAATATGTGAGCAGTGGGTGTGGAGGCTTTAGAGTTGGTGGAAGGCACTTTTGTGCTAGGCTGAGTGACGTAAGTAACTAATTATTATGACTAATATTTAATAACAGTGACAGTGATTTTAGTAATTTCCCTCTGATAAATTGAATGGACAAATGTGTTTTATTGTAGCTCGGGGTCTTTTGGTTATAATAACATTGTGCTCACAGAGTTAATTGCTGAGATCTGGGAACGCACCGACATAGCTGAAAATAGGTCCAACACGGCAACAAGCCCGAGCAGTCAGATGATCGTACAGATTGAAAACAAGCCACCGGGTAGCTTAATTTGTTTTGGAAGAAAACGAAGGCTAACAGTAAAATTACAAACTACCGGATGCTGCATGTGCAATGCGTTGCTTCTTTGACAGCTGGTTCCCAAATCACAGATTTTGCCAATAAGATTTTACTCTAACAACATAACTTTGACAAAAAGAGAGTACAGTGTAATCTGAAATTGATTTTCATTCTTCATTTGCATTACACATTGACACTAGTGTTGACCAGTAAAACCGAACACCTTTCCCACTGTCTGAAGGTCAAAAAATTTAAGATTTTAAGAAGCGAGGATATGCTTTGGCAAATCAGCAGTGATTTGTGTACATAACGGTAACTACATTGCACTTAAACAGTCCCATTGACCAGCAGTCTCTCCTCCGACCCAAGCAGGTTAAACACAGCATCAGCTTTCATTACTGTGAGTGTATCTGTGTGCACATCTCATGCATCATCTCTCAGCAGAGGACTGCTCCTAATATCACGATTTGTGGATTTTCTCCGTTCAGTTGTACAATCCCAGTTGAATATGACTCGAGTATAGTACAGTTGGCCGTTGTTGCTGTTTCTGTTGTTGTTTTTTGTGGTTCTAAACTAGTCCACAGGACAGCAGGCATTATAATCCAAGGTTTGGATTTTTTTTCTTTGCAAAAAGCCACCATCTGCTAACTTGATCTTATCATGCCATGAAAAATGTTTTAATGGTAGATATTTGGGATGAAAAAAATATTAGGGACAAGTAGCTGCAGATGAATGCAATATCACCATTCTGTCAAAGGTCAACTTTTAGCTCAGTGGAGTAAATTCAGCAAGTAGATTTTCACAAAAAAAAAAAAAATTAAATAACACTTACTTGATGAGCCTTACAATAGTATACATACGGTATATAATAATACAGACCTAAATTTCTTATATTTCCTTTGTCTTTTTCCATCTGTCCATCCAGGGCCGTCTGCTGGTGAAAACTGGGCGTGTCCACCTTGGGGAGAAGGTCCTGCGTGATGCGGTTCAGGTCCACAGCACCTCCCACGAGGCGTGGAGTGGCCTGGGCGAGGCCCTGCAGTCTCGTGGTGCCAGCCAGGCCCCCGACTGCTTCTTGACAGCCCTGGAGTTGGAGGCTTCCTGCCCCATTCGGCCCTTCAACATCATCCCCAGGGAGCTTTGAGGGGCCTGGGCTGGGGTGGAGGTTTGGGTCAGGGTAAAGCTAATAGCCTGTTGATGTATAATTATACATTGGTGCAGATACATTGAAAAGCAGTGCTGGGTGAAAAATGTTTCTTTAATGAAAAGTCTGACATTTTGGGAAATAGGCCTGTCTGCTTTCTCGCCAAAAGCCTGATGAGGAAATTGATACCACTCACATCTCTCAGATAAATATAAAGCTACAGCCAGAGGATGGTTAGCTTAGCGTAAAAGGGACCTATTATGCTTTTCCTTCTTTTTTGTCATATATATAATGTTACAGTGTCAGATATTCATAAAAAAATGTGGCCAAAGTTTTGAATGATAAGGTAAACTTATGTAAAAGTAATCCCTGTCAACAAAAACCTCAGGCTGCAGACCATTTTAAATACTCTGTTACCAATGTTTTCCTACTTTCAAGACAAGCTGACATCAGCTTGTGATGGATTACTTTAGCTCCAGCTCCAGACAAGCGTTAACATTACGTAGCCTACACTGCTACATGTAGCTGTATGCTAACATCATGTTCTCTTGGTTGCTGATGCTTTTAATTTCTCCCAGTTGTCCAGTGAAGATTTTATTTTAAAAGCTTCTGGTGATCTTTCAAGGTAGAAAGTGCAGCTATCCTCTGTTACAGTCATTCCGTGGTTGCAATGACGGTGCACTGTAAAGACACCAAGATACGAAAGACCTGGAAACACTGACCAATCAGAGCTGACTGGGCTTTTTCAGGAGAGGAGATGGAAGAGATGGACGCTGAAATGGAGCGTTTTATGCAGAGAGTAAATACAGGTCTATTTTGGCAAACAGTATGAGGAAAATAAACTGTAGTAGAAACCCCAAATACAGGTATGAATCTGAAAATGAGCATAACAAGTCCCCTTTAAGAAATTCTCAAGCACAGAAGCCTGGTAAAACCACAAGTTCTTTTGTAGTCTTTCGCCAGAGCCAATTTCAGTGTTTCCCCGTTTCCACTCTTTATGCTAAGCTAAGCTAATCAACTCCTGGATGTAGCTTCATATTTAGCGAGCAGATATGATTGTGGTATCAATATAATCATCTGTCTGTCAGCAAGAAAGCGATTGGAGTGCATCTCCCAAACTTCAAAGTATTCCTTTAACAAGTATTTCTTAATTATTGTTAAATCTCAGTGAGTTTCATTGTCACCCTCTTAATTATTAGTCTAACTGTCCAAATACTATATGAGAATTCCTAAATTATCAGATGGAGAATTGCAAAAAAAATGTCCCTTAATGTTGCATATTTACACACAAAACAGTGACAATAATATTGGATATTAATACTGTGTGTGTGTGCAGGAAAAGCAACAGAGGCCGATTTCAGAGCAGTGTAAAGAAAGAATCATGTTTATAAATGTAAGTACTGTAAGGAAGTACATCTCCTATGGAGTTATAAGCCCAGAAGTAATAGCTCTTTTGCAATTTGTGACAAATGAGTAATATTTTAAATAATCAGAATTATCAGGTATCAGTTTATTGGTTCATAAATCACAGAGATGTGCTGGTTGCATCTTGAGATAGAATGTATGTTATGTAGAAATGCAGATACATAGATTATGTGTAGGCTGTCAGTTACAACAGCAGCTCCACTTCATCTTTATTTTAGCCCTTGATGTATTTTTGATGATCATGTTGATTGACGCAGCTTTCATGTACACACACCCTCTCATCTTCAAATGAGAGCTCATACATTTTCTTGCAAGGACAATCACATATCATTCAATATGTCTTCATTATTTATGTGTGTGCCTGTGTGTTTTCATGCAGTATGTCTTCTTATTGTGTAACTTCATGTATGTGTGTTTGTTTTAAACTGTCCCTCTGGGGTGTTATCAGTCCCTATTCTGTTTGTTCTGTTTGTTCAGTACAGTAGGCGACTCATCCGCTTATAATGTGTGTGTGTGCGTGTGTGTGTGTGTGTGTGTGTGTGTGTGTGTGTGTGTGTGTGTGTGTGTGTGTGTTATTTTTTTCTTTTTGACTCATCTGTTCGTAATGCTCTCCATTATAAACAACAATGGCTTTTAAAAATCACTGCTGGATGCCGCGTCTTCACCTGCCTTGTCACTTGTGACTAATGGACATCACTTCCGAGTGCCTAACTACATTAATGTGAGCAGTGGGACTGGGCTGCCGGCTTATGTAATACTGCCAGCACAGTTTTCTGCCTCCAAACTCCCTCCTCCTCCTATCTCTCTCTCTCCTTCTCTATCTCTCTGTGTCTCTCGCTCTCTCCCAGCTTGCCTGATGTGATGTGATGTGGCTTGGTTGCCTAGCAGCCATCCCCTTGTTTGAGTAACTGGGGAAGCAGAGAGATATCTGGTCTGCTGAACAACACACACACACACACACACACACACACACACACACGGCGAGCGGCAGATAATGCCCCCGTTGTGTGGTTTTACAGGCTTGACAGTGTCTGTTTGATGTCTGCTGTTACCATGTGAGGTATGAGCCAGCTATAATCAATGTCTCAGGATGGTGTAAATTGATTTGTGTTATGGGAAGAGTCACTGCCTTTGCTCTCAGCAAAGCCCCTATTTCTTAACCCTTTCCCTCCCCGCAGGGCTACAAGCACTAATCCTCTTCCTTCCCTGTCTTTTCTTAAAACTCCACAATCGCCCACGGCCCTGTCGCTCCTGGCATGAAAATCCCCCATCCGTCAATACTTCGATTTTCGCGCAGGAATTATCGATCACTGTCGCCTCTTTTTTGCCATCCGAAAAGAAATCTATTTTTACTTTTTTCCCTCCTCGCTCGCCGGCTCTCCCTTGTTCCATCCTCTCCTCATTAGCGCTGTGTGTGACACCTACACAGGGGCTTCGGGAGATGAATGGTCTAATCCCTGTGGGTAAGGAGTGAAATATTACATGGTGTGCTCAAACATGCACAAATACACTCACACACTGACAATGAGAGGCACATGAACACATTGTGTGGTACAGTACACATGCTTGAATACACTCGCGCACGCACGCACGCACACACACACACACACACACACACACACACACACATGCCACAGTCTTGACAGCTCTGGTAAAAGGAGACAGATTAATGGAGGAAGCGGCCCGCTGCAAAGCCTCTCAGAATGACAACGGGCAGAGGAAGCTCTATTCACTGGACCGAGTGTCACCACACACACACACATAAATATATACAGTATATACACCTGGGATCAATGAGCAGATCTTATTGTGTATGTGCGTCTGCGTCATCGTGATGTCAGAGCACCCAGGCATGTCGCTCTGGTTACGCTGGAGCATCACAAGACTGTCTGTGTGTGATATGAGAGTTGGGAGCAACTGGTATCAAGTGTTCAGGTACACTTACTGTACATTAATGGTTGCCTCAGACAAACACACAACCTCTTTACACAGCATCATGGAAGAAGTGGCAGCCATATTGGATAGAATACTGATCATTAACAAACAAATAACTGACAATCAAAGGTGGTGACCACGCTGAGTGAGGTGTGTATGTGAGTGCATGTGTGTGGGCCTGGTATTCAGGTCACAGTGGTGTGTGTGGATGCCAGTCCTTCAGGGGCATATGGAGGGCACAGGCTGGGTGGTGTCAGTACAGGGCGCCAAGAAGGAAACCATAAACCATCATTGTGATGTCCAAACAAGGCCGGGGAGTCATGGATGGGTGAGGGGTGTTATGGAGGTTACAAGGATCAGATGTGGTTCCATAATCTCATTTATAAATAAAATGACTGGTACAGTAGACGTATACATAGTTCATGCCCATGGGGCAAATGTGTTCCAGCAGAGCTCAAAGCACATGTTGATGAAAGACAGTATTGAGAACGCTGTGAGAACTGCTTAAAGGTCAGAAATAAATGCAGGACGTTGTCAGAAATACTTGTCAACATGTCAGAATGTAAAGCCTTGTTTACCAAAGATTTTACAGTAAATATCTTCAATGAATGTTTATTTGCTGGAATTTCATAGACATACTTTATAGCTGCTGTTTATAAAGAATGTGAAGTCAGGTCAAGCCGCATGGGACGGAGCCACCATGTTCCAGTGATTGCACTCTGTTACTTCTGTTACCAAGGTGCGTGCACTCGGTCCAAAAACAAAATAGTTTACAATGTCCAGAGATGTGAGTAGACGTAGTGCGCCAGGGCCTGTAATCAATCCTTTGGCTGCAAAATAATTTGGATCAGTGTTGTTTATCTTGATTAGCTTGTCCAAATACCATTACTACTGTAGCAGGATCAATAACACAGCATGGTCCTCGGAACATTAGAGCCCCATCCAAACCAATTTAACATGGCATGACATCAACTTCACATTCTTTAGGGCCAGTGTTTAGGGCTACGACATTTAATCTTCCTCAATGGTTCAGTATGTATGATTTATGGAAATATATATTGGCAGAAATTGAATACAATATTAGTAGTGTGTTTTCTTTAGTAAACAATCGCCTGAAGATGAGAATCTATGTTTTTGTTATCTTAGAATGAGCATTTATGTCTACGTAGTGAGCGGAGTCCGTCATGTTGGACTGCTGTGTTTCCACAGTGGCTCAGAATGAACAAATAAAACATTTGCGCTGTTGCGTCGGCCCCTGTAGTTAGCTGCCTCTCCACGACAAGTATAACAGCATTAGAAAAACACAGATTTTTAATGTGAAACTGCTTTATTCAGTAATTTTACCGGTTTAAATCACCAGGTTCATTTGTTTTGGGGACGAAGAGACCTCTGTGGATAGTTTAGCTCCTGGTAAAAAAGTTTCCTGAATGTCTGGACCTTATGGGGGTTATGGGGGGCCGAGGGCGGGGGGGTTGTAATGTGAAACTGCTTTATTCCAAGTTTTTAATCGGTTTAACTAACTTAGTCTTTTTCTTTGTGGAGTCCACTGCTTATAATGCAGTTCCCGGTAAAAAACAGGAATCCTAACTGGGAGTTTACACTTGGCACATAAGAGAAGTTTCAGCTTGTTGCGCTCTGCAGTCCTCACTGGTAGATACCACTATATCCTACACACTACTCCTTTAATGGATACAGGCTATGATAAAATTCATCATCATAAAACCCATAAGTATAATTTCTATTTGTGGGAATGGTTAAAAGAATAATTTGACATTTGGGAAATTACTTTTCTTTCTTGTTCATGTATGCTAAAGATGAAGTTAGAGCCATGTAGCTTACATGTATAATTGCAGAAATGGAGAAACATCTAGCCTGGCTCTATCCTGAGGTAACAAAATCTGCCCACCAGCATTTCTAAAGCTTACACACAACAGTACCTCACATTAAACAACAACTTGTTGGTTTAACACTTCAGTTTTGTACAGGCTGAACAAACAGATTTATAACATGTTAATTAGGGAGCTTAAGAGGTTCTGGTTGGGGTGTTTTGTTGGTTTTGGACAGAGCCGAGCTAACATTAGCTGTTTCCCCATTTCTAGTCTTTATGCTAAGCTAACTGAAAAACAGAAAATAAGGGCAAAAGGTCACTTTCTCAGACAATGCAGTCATTTGTTGTGCAACTCACATGCAGCTCTGATAACCCTGTGTAATGATATGAAATAAGTGCTGGCTTATTCTCACATTGTTGCCACGCCATCATCAGCCTCATTTTTGGACTTGCTCTGATGCTCATTTATGAGGTTGGCATTGTCCAGCACCATGCCTAATAACACCGCAGTAAACAGCAGCTTGGCCGGCAGCGTGTTCTCTTCCATCAATCACTCCAGCTCACCTGATCGGCCTCCAGCGCTCTTGGTCCACTTCCACACATATCACAACGGTGCCAGCACCATTACCCACTTAAACAATGACCCCCTTGTTCGCTAACAGTCGCCCATTGGAGCTGATTAAACTTTTAAATGTCATTTAATAGAAGCGTAATGTTGCTCCGATGCGTCTGTCAGCAGCTTGAGGGGGGTAAAAGGATACCTGGTCACCCTCCCGGTGTGTCACACTGCCCGCTAAATTCTTCAGCCGGCTAGTCATCACCCTTAGTGTGTGGATGTGGTGATGAGAGTGAATGTGACCTGGACTTAAAGGGGACACGAGGGAGCAGCACCTCTGAACCTGCCACCTCTTTGTTTGACCCTCTTGCTGCTGGCTGGAGTCTCGCAAGGTGCTCATGTTATACAACGAGGGAGAAAGGGAGACAGCTTTCTGTGATACTGGGAGGCCATTTTAGTTCAGCACAATGTCAATGACAAACAAAGCCTTCTCTGTTCGAGGGGTTGTTTGTTGGGCGACCTTAAGCTGGGACTCAGCAACTGATAATGGCATTTGTCCCACACCAGTACTGGATTATGGGTATTTCTGTGCAACTTCACATTCTTAGGAAATTCCAGCAGTCTGCCTTCGTCATTATTCTGGAGCAGGGTCACATTTTCTCAGCATGTTGCCCCGAGTTAGCTGTTAATTTGACGTCCTTGACTCTGGCCCAGCTGTGCCACTGAGTAGCAGGGTCACTGCTGCCAGAAACACAGATTTACTCCAGACCCCACTGATGTGCTACACCGCTTCCTGAATGTTGACCGGATCTCATTAAGCTGTTTCTGAAAACCGAGGTTGATATTTGGGCTGCTGGTGCGACCTGCCCTGACACCAGATGTTCTCGTGACCTTTAAATGATATAAATCCACTGTGCCAGCACAACTCACATCTTGACTCGCACTTAAACTGCCTTCTCACCACTCTAGGCAGGAAACACTACCACAGATGAAAAGATATTGTGTTGTGTGGTAGGCTTTCTGCAGTATCCTGATTGTGTTTTCGGCAGTGTTGAAGCAAGATCCACTTTCATTTGGCAGTAGAGCTTTTATTTATTACATTTTAAACACTGATAGCAAAAAGGAAGTAGTAGTTTATTGACGAGACCATGGAACCTTTAAGAAGTTAGTGTATGTGTGCACATGTTTGCAGGTTTGCGCGTCAGTTTGCAAGTGCGTTTTTAAAAAGCAAAGGATCACAAGTGCATGCGTGCATGTGCATTCATCGCATTGTGCAGCTGCGTGCGTGTTCTTTGAAGCAATGTGTGTCTACGAGGGGGGAGCTTGATTGACAGCGAAAGAGCGGGTGCCTAGCCGTGCCTGTGGTCGAGGCAGGCTGTGGGAGATGGAGGGTGTTAAGTCGTCAGTATGAGGCATATGTCAGAGATCAGTGCTGGACCGTGGAGATCACTGAGATGAGAATGGAGGAAGATCGCTGGGGGTTGAGAGAGAGACAAGAGATTACTGGGGGCTTGGTGCCTTGACCACAAGCAGAATGGCTGCTCATCACACACAAACACACACACACATCTCTCTCATTTTTTCTTCCTCACAAGCAGTGGATACACATGCCCAGCCCTCTAGAGGCTCCATGCAAAGCCCCGTGTTAATAAGATTGTCTTCCTCTCCGGGTGGAAGTGTGCGCTCCTTTGTTTCCAGAATAATGACAGGGGGAATAAGAGCCTGGCTCTTGAACCTCCTCGAGCTCTTAAGTGTCTGCAACTGAAGGAAAACAGAGTGGTGGGGATTAAAGTCGGCCAAGTAGATGTGCCGTGATAATGTCCGTACGGCTCGACTGACTGTTGTCCTCAACAAAACACTTCACTGATGTCAATAGGGGTGAAAACATGATTGCCTCATAATGTACAGTATATCACAAGTTCCAAATTACCCTTACCACAAACAAATTGTTATTGAAATAAGCCTCTACTCTTAATCCAGCCTATGTTTTATGGCTACACCAATCCCTACTAGCTTTCGGGAAGCTGCTCTGTTAGCTGACCCTCAGTGTTGACACAATAGTGAAGGTGGTTTGAGGTGTTTTGTAGATATGAACAACTTTTTCAGCAAAGCTAGAATGTAGCAAGCCCACCTGTGACCTCATCACTAATTCTATAATATGGCTATCCTAACCCAAACACTCAGGTAAAAAAAAAATGGCTCCTGTTATTCATGGATTGTATAAAAAATGGACGAAACCATTGTGATGTCATCCATAGTTTTTTAGACTCCTGTTTTGGCATTTTGGTTGTCACCATCTTGGATTTATGGAGCCACAGGTGACCATATTTGGGTACGAAGGTGGAGATAACCCTAATGCTAGCTGTTAGCATGGTTAGCACAGCCCACTTACAGCTATGGTTAACTTTGATAATGCCAATGCTAATTTTTGCTAGCAAAAAAGGAGCTTAAAACTATTAGAACAAAATGTACTCACAGAAAAAAACTGAGCTTCTGACTCTGTTAACTTTCATGAACTGAAAATACACTGAAAAAGCAATAGCTACAGCTATGCATACACTCTGTGAATCTGGGGTTACACCATGGTTATGTTACCAAACTAACACTGTTACCGTGGTAGTGACTTAGTCTTGCCTTAATAACATTTTAATGGGTGAGTTATATACAAAATGTTCTCCTGTACAAATGTCATGCACAGGGACATAAGCTATAGAGACCAAAACGTTTTTAATGCCAGATGTTCACATTCTGCTGTGAAGTTGGGCATTTTAATATGAGGGTTTATGGGGAGCCAGCGAGTAGCCAGTAGAGCCAGCCTTAAGTGGCCATTAGAAGAACTGCAGTTTGTTTCACTGCCACATTGGCTTCATCTGTCAGCCCCAGAGATTGGTGCTTGGTTCAAGCCGACATTTAAACCCATTGTTTCCACGAAGAATGTTGGCTGTTCCAGTAACATCGTAACAAACATGACCCCATGTCTTCACTGTGTGAGGTGCTCACTGTTATGGTACACGGTATGCTAGGGCAGCAGAACAAGCTTTACACAAAATTGACATACTTTCACATTCTAGGGTACTAGGAAAGTACAAGCTGCTCCACTGACGATGCCTTGGGAAGAGAATTTGTAGATTCTTGACACATTAGCACAGTGTCTACATTCAAATGAGCTCAAAAATAAGTCCATTAAGTTATACAACGTTTCTATCAATGAAGAAGCTATAATATTGTTTGCTAATAGCATTATGATGACTCCTTGCTACATTATGTGTTGCTATGGGTGATTATTCATCCTCTAAAATCAATATAACACTAAAATAAAGGCTTAAGAAAGTGGGCTCTAATTACCGTTGTCCATATTTTCATCGCTGGATCTGTTAACAGAATCTGGGTGGGCAGAATGGATGAATACAAGTCTCCACTCCCTGGACAACTGTCTAACTGGCAGTGGCACAAAATTCTGCTGCTCTTAGGCGTGAGTGTCTAATTCTATGAATATGAAGCAGTGCTGACAAAGTGCATGCATGCTCAGCAAAACCCTTCTCTGAGTAAATAAACGATAAAAGAAACACTGCCCAGGATCGCACTAACAAATCTGCAGTGTGTTTGTTCTTATTTCTGTGCCTATCCCCTGTTGTGCTGTAATCTACACCGCCATTATGTTCCACACGGAGGGGATTCCTGTCGCCGCT